CCTGAGTTTTCTTCAATGTTTCTGTCTCTTTTGTGAATTCATTCAGAAGTTTATCCCTATCTTCTTTTAGTTCTTTGAGTTGTTTGTTCGTGTGTTCTTTAAATTCATTTAATTCCTTGATCATGTTTATGGTTGTTCTTTTAAATTCAGTGTCCTGGGTTATCTCTAGGGGGTTCTCCTTGTAGAACTCTTTTACAGGATTAGTGGAGTTTGATGGGGACATAGTGTTTTGGCTTTCTGTTTTATTATTCTTTCATTGTGGTTTTGGCATGTCATAACAAACCTACACAGACCTTCATTACTTGCTTGGGCTTTCTCATTTTTTCTCTGAATTTCTTTTGTTGTTTATGATTCTGTTTGTATTATTGGGTTTCCTAGATCCTTTCTCTATTGGTTATGTAAAGCTGGTTGGTAAAGTGTTCATGTTCTCTCAGGTTTAATTTGGAGGGAACTAATGGCTTCAGATCAGGTATTCAGGTTTACCTACAGAAGCCCAATTCAGGTTTCAGTCAGGTACACTCAGGCTTCCTTCACCACATGGAGGCAGGATCCAAGAGCTGTCAGGCAGTTCCCTGGGTTCTCAGCCCCTCTGCCAGAGGGAGGCCAGAGCGAGGCCAGAACTGGGCACTCTCTGGTGGTCTGCTGAGATCAGAGCTGCTACACTGATGGAGGTCGGAACCCACCCTCTCAGGCTGTCTGCTAGGATCTCAGCCTTAGCCTACCAAAACCAGATCTGCCCTGGGGCCTTAGGAGGGGCCTCAGGAAATCCTAGGTAGGGGGATGGGTATGGTGCAATTAGGGGAAGCTCACCACCACTTGGAGGCAGGATTGGCGGCGGGTGGGGGGGGGGAGGAGAAGAACACGACACTCTCAGGCAGTGCACTGTGTTCTCAGGCCCTCTACCAGAGGGAGGCCAGAACTCGGCACTCTCTGGCAGTCTCTGAGGTAGAACTCTTAGGTCAAGATTTGAACTTACTTCCAGAAAAGGGATAAGGAAAGGCTACAAATGAAGAACTGTGCTGAGCAGTTTATTACCTTGCCTGATCCTCACAGGAACTCTGTAATTATCATACCCTTTTGCAGATAGAAAGACAGAGACTCCGAGAGACTAAGTAAACTGCTTATATCCGCACAACTGCAGGCTAGAAAGTGGCATCTGAATTCAGGGCAGTGCACAGACACCTGCTACAGGCTTTTTCACTGCCACTGAGAAAAGTCATACCTCAGTCACTCACACATCCAAGCAAAAGAGAAGGGGCCTTGGGAATGTGTGACAATATGTTGAGGAAAGAAGGGAGAACCAGCCAACCCCCGGGACTTGGGCTCAGAAAAGATGTTCCTTTCCAGTTCTGGAATCAGGGAGAGCACAAAGAAACTCACAATTACCAGCAAGGATTTCACTTCTGTCTGTGTCTCAAAAGTTGGCTTGGATCACAGGTCTGTAGCTCTACCAGCCCCTGAACAAAGTACTGCAGAAGGAAAGGGAGAGAAGCCATGAAAGCAAGCTACAAGGGAACTTGACAGTGGATTGACCCAACCCCTTTGTTTTATAGAGGAGAAATCTGAGACCCAGAGAGGGCACATGACCACAAGGGCATGCAGTTAACAGTATAAGAACAGGACTGAAATCTAGATTACCTAACTCATAGGTCAGCCAGTACCCACAGGACAAGGATGAGGAAAAGAGGTAGCAAGGGGAAGAAGCAGTGGCCAGTGACTACCTGCTTGTCACTTCCCAGGAGGGTCTAGGAAATAGTAGGCAACTTGTTCCATGCAGCAGAGGAAGAGGGACTACCCTGGTCTGTAGCACTTGCCAATCCCCATAATGTAAACACTTCCACTGAGGTGCATTCAAACTGATGTGATGGTACTGAATGTAGAGGTATGCATCGTCAACTCTCATAAGCTGTCCCTAGCATGTCAGCGTTTCCCCCTTCCCTGCTGCTGTGTGAAGTCCGTACCACTCAGCTTTCAAAGTCATTTTGCTCTAGAACTCGGTGTCCTTTCCTATTGAATGCTCATCTATTGTGCAGTACCATTATTCTTGTCAGGAATGGAAGTGGCACCTGTCCATAAGCACCAAGACCCTAAAGACACATTCTGGCTCCCCTCAGAACTGGGGAGGGAATGCAAGGGAGCGAAGGCCCTGACTTGAGAAAAAAATTATATGTCATAACTTAACAGTTATTCCAAGGGAACAAAGCTGTCAGCAAGTGCGGCATCAGTGTGCCCTTTCCTGGTGAGGGTGAGGGAGCGGTTGCGGGGAGCTGCTGTGCTGCTGGCCACAGCCGTTTCCTTTCCCTTCTGGGACCAGGAAGGAACATCTGCCCCAGCTCTCCAGGTCTTTTCTGGCCCAGAATCTATAGACTTTACTGGACAGTTCTATGCTGTAGATTTGGCTAGGGTGTCAGGGCACCCGTCAAGGCCCAGCCTCACACCAGGCCCTATAAGGAGAACCTCTTCAGGCCCTGTCCTCGAGGGTCATACAGTCCCCACCTCCCTTGATGCCCCCACCTTTCTTCCTTCTCTATATGAGATCTTAGACGTTATCCAGCTAGATCTTCCTTTGACCACGCCAGAAGAGAATGCTGGGCCACAAGCGGACCTTGGCAGAGCACAGGGTGGGATTGAGCCTTCCCATTCTCTGTCCAGCAAGTTTCCTTACTTGCTCAAATGACCTCCTTTCAAAGGTAACCCAGTCCCTCGTCCCTTCAGAAGGTTCATATAGGAAGAATTCCCTTTGAACATTATATGTGCTATGCACAGGAGTGGAAAATGTGTCCTGCGTTACTCTTCTACGTGCATTGTTTCATTTGCTTCTCCATAATTCTGTGCATAAAGGGGAGTGGGGGATGCATCATTCCAAATGAAGATTCCAATGTAGGTTAACTAAATTTCCCATCCAAACCTGGTGGGACAAGACTGTCCTGTAATCTCAGCTACTCAAAAGGCTGAGGCAGGAGGATTGCAAGTTCAAACCTTGCCTGGGCAATTTAGTGATACCCTGTCTCAAAATAAAAAATGAAAAGAGGAGGCTGGAGAGAGAGCTCAGTGGTTAAGAGCAATGACTGTTCTTGTAGAGAACCCGAGTTCGAGTCTCTGCACCCACATGGCAGGTAACAACTATCTGTAACTTCAGTTCCAGGGGATTCGATGCCTTCTTCTGACCTCCACGGGCATTGCATGACATGGGTGCACTTACACACATGCGGGCAATGCACTCATACATATAAAATAAAAATATTAAAATATTTTTTTAAAAAGTGAAAAGAGACCTGAGGAGATAGCTCAGTAATAGAGCACTTGCCTAGCATGCAAGAGACCCTAGGTTCTTCCCCCCCAAATAAAATACCTGTAAAGATAACTAAATAGTAAATTCTCAAAGCAAAGACAGTATTCAATATTATTAAGGTATTTTTCAATGTGTCCCCAGGGGACAGATAGTAGCGATAGTTTAGTGGCTTAAAATTCCTTATGCTTCAAGGAAGACCCTGTAGCCCCCCCAAAAAATAGCTTGCATGAGGAACAAACAGAAAGCCTTCTCAAAGCTGGTAGAATCTTACAATGTTGCCTCTAGGCGGAATATCCTCTGAGAAGTCCATTTAAAATAGACAGAACCTCACAGACTGACATGGTCCATAGGGACATGAAAAGAACCAGAAGCTGAGTTCAAGCAGTCAGCTTTACAATGAAGCCCGGCTCTCCTAATAGAAAGGTAAAAAGTAGACACAATCATATCACAGGTGCCAAGATGCCATTATGGGCTAGTTAGTGATGAGCTTTGTCTCCCAGCATATTAGACCCCTGAACCCAGGCCTGAGCCTCTCCAAGGCCTGATACCCTTAGTCTGGCAGTAGTAAGTGGGATTGTTTGAAGTGACTGGCTTTCACTGTGATTCACTCCGGTTCTCTCCTGTCCCTCCAGCCAGTCCCCATCGATGATAACTTCTGTGGCCTGGACATCAACCAGCCGCTTGGAGGCTCTACCCCAGTGGAGGGCCTGACCCTTTATACTACCAGCCGGGACCGCTTGACCTCCGTGGCCTCCTACGTTTACAATGGCTACAGTGTGGTTTTTGTGGGCACTAAGAGCGGCAAACTGAAGAAGGTAAGAGTTTGGAGTCGGCTGCGCTGATGTATTGAGCCCTCAGTTGAGGGGACTCACCTGGAACATAGCAGTTGGTAGAGATTTTACAGGCAACTTTCTGTTTTCTTGAGGGAAGGGAGTGGAAGAAGGGGAGGAAGGAAGGAATCCGTTTTGTGGTTTAGGTTCAAGTTGTTTCCTTCAGCCATCAGGCAATGGTACCGAGGCAGTATAAACATGTTTCAATATTGACAAACATTGAGACATTGGGAAGGTACTCTGTCTCAATGGAAAAATCACTTGATTCCCAAATCAAGTAGAAATGATTTGTTGTTGTTGTTATATACATCATGAATCATGCACATTGTAGTCCCTTTCTGAGATCTAGCTGTTGTTTGTAATAGTCAAGTCTGCTGAATGTAAAGAAGTTGGTTGGAGCAGGTTATGAGTCCTAAGTGTTATGGGGGGTGCTGATCTGGGTACATGGTTGGCACCCATGTGTAAGGCTGTTTACTCATTTTCCTGCAGTTGCAAATGTCCCTTCCCACCTCCTTATTTAAATTTTAGCTGCCAAGAGGAAATAGCAGTCTTCTTCCAGGCCTGCTTGGGCACCTCTGCCAGCTGGAAGAAGCAGACTGTCTAGGGCTGGTAGCACAGGGGCCCTCTGGCCCCAGAGGCTGCAGCCAACAGCTTGTACCTGCTTGTCCAGTGCTTAGGGTGTGGAGAAGGGAGCACAGTCTGGTTCATTATGAGAGATTATAGCAGCTACATTCTTTCCGGCCCCAGCTAATCCCCTTTTCCCAAGCTAACCCTCCTGCCACCTCTTCCCATCCTCGCACCTGTGGATCAAGGCACAGGTAAGACCTTGCTACCCTTTGATGTTGACATCACCAGGGCTCCTTCCTCCTAATCCATTTAGAGCCCTGGGAGGCTATTACTGGGGAGTTGGAACAGAGGAGAGCTGGGGGGAGGAAGGGAACCTGAGGAAGAATTTCCATGTTCTGCTTGTTTTGAGCTACTGTGGATGAGGTGAGAACTGTCTGAGTCTATGAGACAGCATAGAACCTTTCAGACTTTTCTGATCCTTGCAATTCCAAATCCCCTTGACCATTTCCTCACTCTTGGGAAAATCCCCACTTGTTCTGTCCTGTACTTTCACTCTGCCCTGGGGCTGTGGACCTGGCTTGGCTTTAGCAGGTGGAAGAGACACTGAATGAGGCTTTTCCATTTGTTCGTCCAAAGTAAAGGAGGGCAGGAGTCATTCCCTGAGGGAAAGTTGTTCCCCAGGAAATGTTCACTGAGGTTGGAAAGTGTTATATTCTGCTGGTTACAGCTCTGCTTGGATGCCTGAAGCTGGTTACCTCTTTGCCCATCCAGGCCCACTTCATCCACTTGGGTACATTTGCCTGGCTCAGGGGACTAGGGCAAGAGACAGTTGGAATACCACTTGAGTGATCTTTAGCAGACCATGTGCCCTGTGACTTAGACTTCTACCCTGTGAGGCTCCTCTTACTAACCTGTCTGCCCAAGGACAGGTTAAATTACACAGAGCCTCTCTAAGGGGCAGCAAAAGTCACAGCCAGGGTGGGGTTTGGTGTTTTCCCCACACCTTTCCCCCACTTCCAGGCACTGGTTGAGACTCTGCTTTATTCTCTTGTAAGTTCTTTATTAATACTGTTCCCTTCCTCCTCCTCAGTCCCTTCACCAGAAGTTCATTCCTAGGATAGGCCTCACAAAATAAAGCTATCCTTGTAAAATAGGACTGTTCTACATAGAACTATTTTCTGAGATACTTTGGAGATCGCCTGACTCAATACCCTTATTATTCCACAGGGAAACTGAGGCCCAGAGAAGGAGAGCAACTTTTCAAACATGGAGATACAGGGCTAGTTATTTCTTGCCTTGACCCCCAACTAGACATGCTTTACTTTAAGAAGCAGCTATGAAGCGGGGGGATGGAGGCTTAAAGTGATTTTCAGGTCTAGGCTTGCTACAGAGTTCAGCCAAAAACTAGTATCTCTACTCTGTCCAGCCCTAGGCCTGAATTAAGAAATCGGTATTGCTGGGTAAAGGAAGAATGGCCCAGCCAGACCTCAAAGGAATTTCACACTGACCCCCTGGTATCCATACATCTTGTACAGCACACACTGGGGACTGCTTACATCATTCCATGCCACACACATGAGTGGGTCGAGTTCTCTGAGCCCTATAGGAACCCTGACAGACTAGTCACTGTGGAAGCAAGTCAATGGGTTCAAGGGCAAGGCTGTAGGTATGGCTGCCCACAGCATGTCCCAACCTGTGAGCTGCCTGCACTTTCTTACTGTGCTTCTGGCCTTTCTTTGGCTGTTTCTGTAGGCTCATGATATTCCTGCTTCCTTCTCTGGGCAGCTTACTCTTCCCTTCTACCCACACTCCTTTGAGGTACCTAATATCCACACCCAGCTCCTGCTGGCCTTCTGCTTACCAAACCACTCACCCCCACCCTCTCCAGAGAATCAGCCCATGAGGAATTTATGGAATGTCCCCAGGAAACTACTATGGTCCAGGCCCCATAGCTCTTTCAACACAGGAAGGAAAATAAAGAAAAAAAAAATAGCTAAGAGTCTGGCAAGGGGAGGGAAGCTGGGTGCGTCAGAGCTGCTCACTTCTTCCCTGCCTGATCAGGCATCTCAGACGGTCCAGCCCTCATCCACAGAGGCCTGTAGGAACAGGATGTCCCCAAGTGGGGAAGTGGAGAGGAAGCAAGACTCACCAAAAGTAGCATGACTACAGCATATACATGGGAACCCCAAAGACCAGGCTCCTGTCCTCTAAGCTACCAGAAGGTGGAGGGAATGGGGAGAGTATGGCTGAGATCTCAAAGCCATCATGGGGTACATGCAGGACTAAAGGTCAGTGCTTAACAGGAGGTGGGAAGACAGGCAGAGTTTCACCACAGGGTTCAACAGCTCAAGCAAAGCCAGTGACTGGCGTGGGATCAGTGTGCAAGGCTGATTGAGGAGGAAGAGTAACGGGTTCTACTTAAAGAAGAGTAGGTGGAAGGTGAGATGGAGCTCAGCCTACATGGCAAGAACTTTGGGATTTGAGCTGGGCCAACTGTATGATACAGCTTCGGCAGAATCAGTTAGTTATCGCCACAGGAGAAGAACAACTTCCAGGTCATGAGCAGCAGTGACTCCAGTTTATGGTAGAGATAACATTGTGAGAATATGTTAAGAAGTTAAAGTTTGAGAGAAACAATGGTGATGAGGATGTGAGAAACACACTATGTGAAGTGTTTCTAAAAGAATACAAACCAAGGAAAATGAGTCAATCAAGCAGACAGCTCTCCAGATAATGCAATTTTACTGGGCACCTTTTACATGCCAGTCTGTTTTAAGACCTTTGCGTCTGGGGCCTGAGAGATGACTCAGTGGTTAAGAGCACTGACTGCTCTTGCACAGGACCCAAGTTCAGTTCCCAACCCCTCATAATGGCTAACAACTGTCTATAACTCCAGTTCCAGGGGATTCAAAGCCCTTTTCTGACCTCCTCAGGCATTGCACAACACAAATACACTTACATACATACAGGCAATATACTCATACACATAAAATGAAAATAATTAAAATATTTTTTTTTAAAAAGGCTTTTGTATCTGCTAACTCATTCAACTCTGATGCAGCCCTCTGAAGTGGGTGCTGTTACCAACTCTATTTTGCAGATGGGACATGGAGGCCAAGAAAGGTAAAGAAATATGTCAAGTTCTTGGCTGAGTTCAGACTTGATTCTCGCTTGGCATGCTTAGTCATCAAGCTGTAGAAGATAAATTAGACTCAGTCACTGTGGCCCCAGAGGTTAGAACTGGGCCAGGATGTAGGTGTTGCTACAAATCAGCTTTCCTCATACTGTAGGGAAGGAGTTTCTATAACCAAACTGTCTGATAATGGAGAGAGCCCACTCAAGAGAGAGTGAGCACCTGGTCCGTAGATGTATCCAGTGAGGGTACTGTTGAGACTAACCCTAACCCTGTGTCAAATCACAGCCTGTCTCCCATGATGTCACTGCTGTTCCTCTGATTCCTTCAGTGGAACATGTAGCAACAGAAGGCATGACAGAAAACAGGAAGAAAGACAGGCAGGTCAGGGTACCCTGGGTCTGGGCTTCACAGTCCAGGCTTGGTTGAACCTTCCATGAGCATGGCAGAAAGTTCCTCTGGGCCAGGGAGAGGTACTGGGCACAGACAGGGCAGGGCAGGGCCAAGGTGATGAGAGTGGGCAAGGCTGGGGCAAAATACAGGGGTGTGGTGGCATCCTCCTGGTTAAGATCAGGCTGTAGGACTCCAGGGAAGAGACACTGGGAGCTGATCCCAAGCAGGTAGAAGAAGAGCGGTGGCAGGAAGTAGAAACTCATTTCAGATGGCTTTGCAGTTCCAGGGAAGAGTCAAGGATGCAACTTAAGCACAAATTAATGGGGCACACGACTGGGGTCAAGCTGAGTGGGAGGAGAGGAATGGTGGGAAGACTAGCTCCGGTTTCAAGGCAATGTTCTCTGGTTCCTTCTTGCCATTTGCAGTAGCTGAAACTCCGTCCCCCTCCCAATCTCACCCAAGCCCATGTTTCACATCTCTACAACTCCTTGCAGAAGCTGGGGTGGCTCTCTGCCTCGGACTTCCAGTCCTTTGGACCTGGGGCCATAACCAGGAGTGGGAGCTATTGGTTCTCTGCTCCTGGCCTCTTTCAAACCTTGCTCAACACGTGTGACACATGCTCTACCCTGTCAGTTTAACCACTGAGAGCGGTGCTCTTCTCACACCCCATACATCTGACCAAAGAGCAGCCACTAAGGTGTCTTCCTCTCTGAAATTCGCATTTCCTGAGGATGGAGACTTGCCTTTGCATTGTCTTATCATTCCTCCCCACTGCCATGCCACATTCAAAATGTCACACACATTAGGAACTCTGTGAGCTGACCTCAGATATGTTGGGCTCTAGTCTACCAAACTCCTGATCACAGTGATTGGAACAGAGTCAGATGCCAAG